TGGGTTTGGGATTCTTCCTTCCCCATTAATAGCCATTTTACAGCTATGTAGCAATTTTTGTAAAATGTGACTATCCACTTCAAGCAAGTGCCCATTTTTTTAAAAGCCCCTGATTATTTTTAATTTAAAAATCTGTCAAAGGGCCAGGCATGGTGGCCCATAATCCCAGCACTTGGGGAGGCACAGGCAAGAGGACTGCTTGAGGCCAGGAGTTCAAGACCAGCCTGGGCAACATAGTGAAACCTATCTCTGTAAGAAAAATAAAATTAAAAATTAGCCAGGCATGGTGGCACACGCCTGCAATCCCAGCTATGCGTCAGGCTGAGGCAGGAAGGTTGCTTGAGCCCAGGAGGTTGAGATTGCAGTGAGCTGTGATTGCACCATTGCACTCTAGCCTCAGTGACAGAATGAGACCCTGTCTCTATAAAACAAAGAAAAAAACCTGTCAAAACCTTTCTTTATGTTGGGGCAGTTATATTTAAATTAGTATATGAATTAAGGATAATTATTCTAGCACTTCATGTCTGTTATTGATTGTTAATGTGATAAAATTAGGAGTTCAAATTTGTCTCCTATATTTTTCCTCTAGAAAAAAATGTTTTCTCATTTCATTAATTAGGAGATATTACTTTTATAACATTACAAAAAGCTTCTTTACGAAATGTCTAATCTTGCATAGTTCTAATTATATTTTGGTTAAATTTTATTTCTGTTTTGATGTTTTCCCTCTAGCCGGAGAATCTCTTATTAGACACCAGGCACAACATCAAAATTACGGATTTTGGACTCAGTGCCCAATTCACGCTGGGCACACCACTACAAACCTGTTGCGGGACCATTTTCTATGTAGCTCCAGAAATCTTGGAGGGGAAGAAATATCACGGCCCTAATGCCGACGTTTGGAGCCTAGGGGTGGTGCTTTATGTATTTGTGACCGGCGCCCTTCCTTTTAATGGGGACAGTCCGAAGGTATAGGAAGCGGTTGTATCCATGTAATATATAAAACTAGAAGGAGTTTTATAAAATTATATGGGCTTATGTTTTTAATGTTCTATCAGTTTAGGGGTTTCAGTGGGTTTTCTGTTGTTTTTTAACCTAAAGTTGACTCACTAGTTTTCTTTCCTCTCTCCTTGTCCACAGGAGATAATAAGGAAGGTGAGAACGGGAAAATACAGCGTCCCCTCCTGTATCTCCAAAGAATGCAAGAACCTCCTGAAGGGCTTACTTGTGGTGAACCCACATGGAAGACGCTCGCTCCAGGTAATCACATACGTGGAAATAAGTAACAACTTTGGAGAGTTTTTAGAGTATTTTTAGAACTTATCTTGGTTTGCGTGGCATACTGAACGTTTGCCGGGGACATTTTAAGCAGGAGTTGAGACAGTAAAAAAAAATTTAAGTTATCCTTTGACCTACGGTCAGTGAAATGTTGAAAATAAAGTTTCCTAAATATTGTGACTATCGGAATATTTTATTTTATGCTTCTAATGAACAGTTCACCTTTTCAGAAAATCATGGATGATGAATGGGTGAACTTAGAACACACGGAGAAACTGACACCCTACGTAGAAGAAACCATCACCCGAGATGAGAAACGCATTGGTAATTACTCTGTGCCTACATGCTTACGTGTGCCTGTGCTTGTATAAGTAACATATTTCTGTTTGGATTCATGCATATGCCTAAGATGTGAATAACGGAGTGTTAAGCCCATGTTCGTAATGAATCAGCTTATCTGTTCTGTCATATTTAGAAACTTAACTAAATGTAGTTTCCTACAGTAGCACCCAGTAACTCAGAAGCAGGTGCTCATTTGTGTTAGAAAATGTGTGATCTTTTAGGTCAAATAAAGAAAATTGTTTTACCCTGTAACAGAATGATTTCTTACCCAAACAAAACACATAATCTGTATTTTACCCATCTTGTTTAGAGATTCTGCTGAGGATGGGGTACGAGGAAGAAGATATTGAAGAGTCACTTAAACAGCAACAACCGGACGAAATAAATGCCACCTATAGATTGCTAGAGGAAAAATCTGATGAGGTAGGAGTGATCAGAGAGGAAGAGTTGAAATGCCCTTTATGTCAATGATCAGTTTATGTAAACTAGTTCCTTAGTTTTTATTTTTTAGATATGTATAACATATTTCATTTTATATGTATATGTATGTTTGTATGATATGTATATATGATATGTATAACATATGTAATATATCATTTTCTAAATTTACCTGCAAATACCAAATCTAACTCCTATGACCATTATAAGCCAATATTTGAACTTCAAGATAATCACCCTCAATAAGTAAACAGAACACTTAGAGTTATTTGAAAAAGCCTGGAAAGAAGAACATAGATAAGTAACCTTTTGTGACTTTTTCCAGCAGTAAAAAAAATAATTTTGCCTGAGTTTGTGGTTGTCATTTTTAAACACTGTGATTCCACATCTCTCCAAATGAACTGTTTCTGAGAGGTCTCTGTGTTATGAGAAGTTTAGTTTCCTAATAAACCATTTGGGTTTGTGTTGTGGTTTGTTGTTTTTCTCATTTTCTTTTAGCTACATGCTAATGATTCCAGTTCAAGCAGCAGTCTTCCTCTCGCTAAGGTTAGGCCGAACAGTAATCTCAACAACTTTGATTTCAGTAGTCTGTGAATTATTACTTTACTGATTATTATAAACCGCTATCATAGTCACCCTATCTTAGCTGTTTTTCATGTTCTTTTCTACCAGAAGAGAGGGCAGAGGTTGCTGTCCTTGCTCCCTTTTCTGATCTTTTGGCCATTACTATGGATGTTTTAGCATAGTTTAATTTAAGGACTGAATTCGCGTGAACAGATCAATTCAGAGTTACTGAAATTGAAACAGCAATTGAAAAAACTTCTCGTAAAAGAAAATGGCTGGACGCAGCATGGTTTTCACACTCGAATTTTACCACACCTACAGAAAGGGGATATATAGGAACTGGGTGATTGGCCATTCGCGTGAACAGATCAATTCAGAGTTACTGAAATTGAAACAGCAATTGAAAAAACTTCTCGTAAAAGAAAATGGCTGGACGCAGCATGGTTTTCACACTCGAATTTTACCACACCTACAGAAAGGGGATATATAGGAACTGGGTGATTGGCC